GTTTCTGGTATTTAATGTTTGTCACATCCCACTGAGGGCAGAGCCCCACACGCTGCCCTGCAGGACAGAGCTGGGCAGGGCAGCAGAACATGTGAGAGATAAACAGAATAAACAACCTTGGAACCAGCACAGACCAATTATGACTTTTTTGGCAGCGGGGCTGACAGACAGAGACTTTCTACAATCTCGGGATCATCAACACCTCAGATTCTGACAGAGAAGCCAGGCAGGAGCAGGGCACAGCCCCTTTAGATGCCCCAGAGGATTCCCCAGCCCTTCCTGCAGCTCCAGAGGTGCTGGAGCTCCCCAGCAGCCCAGCCCTGCCACCCAGGGCATGGAAGGGCACCTGGTCCCACAGGGACCCCCAACACCCACAGCCCCCCCAGCCCCAGCTGTGTCCAGGCTGGCACGGCCTCAGTGCCCAGCTGTGCTTCCTCCTCCTCCTCACCCTCCTCCTCCAGCCCTGCTCCAAGTCACGTACCAGCCCGTGCCATGCACCCTGTGCCACGCACGTGCCAGCTGCCACCCTGGGACTGCGGGGCACCCTCGAACTGTCACCCCCCCAAAGCTCTGTCCCTGCTGAATTGCCACCCTGAGCGCCCCACGGGATGGATATCAGTTCCAGGGGAGCCCTGAGCCTGACACCCCCTCAGTGGTGCCATCCCAGGGAGTCCTGGCCCCAAGAACCTCTCAGGGACACAAATATTTCATTCCCAAGGAGGTCTGACCCCCAGAACTCCCCAGGGGCACAAACATCCCAGTCCCGGGGTGTTCTGAACCCAGGGATTCCCCAGAGGTCTGGACATCACCATCCTGGGGCATCCTGAACTCAAACATCCCCCAGGGACACCAACATCTGCATCCTGGGGCATCCTGAACTCAAACATCCCCCAGGGACACCAACATCTGCATCCTGGGGCATCCTGATCCCCAGCATCCCCCAGGGACACCAACATCTGCATCCTGGGGTATCCTGATCCCCAGCATCCCCCAGGGACCTGGACATCCCCGTCCTGGGGACATCCTGAACTGAAACATCCCCCAAAGACAGGGACATCCCCATCCTGGGACAATTTGAACTCCAACATCCCCCAGGGACATCAACATCCCCATCCTGGGGCATCCTGAATTCAAATATCTCCCAGGGACATGGATGTGAACATCCTGGGGACATCCTGAGCTCAAACATCCCCCAGGGACATGGACAACCCCATCCTGGGACATT